TTCACTCCACAGGCGTAAAGAATTTGAAGAAAGTACTTTCCTACCTATTACTAACTAGTAACTGACTACAGAATGAAGTTGTCTAAAGTTCTGGTGAGAATTCATGACTGGTGGCGTTCACCAAGTCAAGTGTGAAGGCATTGGATGGTAGTGTCCTTAAAAATCACTAATCGACAGAGGTTAGAATTCATGGGCCATTTAATTATTTTTCCCAGTGGCTAAATAGTCAGCAGACTCGCTTCGCAACCTAAAACGCCTTTCTTCGATCCTCATTAAGGTGCGTAATGCTGAAGAGTACCAGACTAGGACGAAAAAACTGGATAGCATCTATCTAAATGATTTCAGTGCGTGATCTCACTTGAAATCAATCGAATCTCAGCAAACTAACACTCGGAAACCCTCCTATTACTGATTTTTACTTTGATAAATAAGTTATACGGCGTACATTAAAACCCTCATCACCTTATTTGTGTTGCCAGTATCACGTGATACAGTTTCCTGAAGTATTCACAATATTTTTAAGTACCATTTGCTGCTTTATTATCATAATACTCAAATTCCAATTTAATTATTTCAAAGATTCCCCTACTAAATAAAGAATAGTAGACTTATTAATCAGATTGTTGGTGTAGGATAGTTTCAGCACACTTTATCGATCGTTATCAGTCTCAGACTTGAAATATGTTAGTGTGGCATCTAATACTGACAATAATTTTCAAGTAGTATATGGTTTATAATGTCTTCTAAACGAATCTTCAGTACAGGAGTAACAGATCAGTTAGGGAAGAGAAGAACATATGAAAGATCCATCACAAACAATATAGAAGGTATAAAAAGACTTTTTTTAAATCATAATCTAAGGAACATGCTTGAGTGTTAATTTCAATGTTGGAGGATTTCATCATGAGCTGACATCAGTTAGAGAACCATTGGAAAACCACCTAGAAGTACTAGACAACTGTTTCGTCCTAGTTTGGGACTCTTCATCAGTAAGCATCCACCGCCAGGATTCAAACTCAGGATCTTCTGGTTACTAGGCTAGCTTGTAAACGATTAAGCCACTGTGACCTGATCCAACGACCAGTGCATTAATTCTAACTTCTGCCAATTCATGGCGTAGCACGACCACTTCGCAATGTCTTCTTCGATGAGTAACTGTTCTCACCTTCAACCTGCTGCACTCTACTGGTCGCCGCTTTCCACTAGAAGCCCAAGTTAATTGCCTGGATAGGGCCAGTAGCTAATGAGCATCAGATTAATTTTCAAGTATTTGTTTTGTAGGGATTTTTGTTTGATTGGTTGGAGGATTTCATGACAGCTTATGGTGAAATCCTCCAACCAATGGAACAAAATACCTACAAAATAAATACTTGAAAATTCCAATGTTTTAGACCTTTATATTTCGTAGCCATCACTATATATTATTTTCCAAACAAGCAATCCTGCAACAAAATAAAAACTATATTCTGCCGCCACATTGGTACAAGGAAAATGAAAATTCGAAGATTATCACCACAACCTAAGCCAGTAAAATGTAAAAAAAGCACTACAGAAAGCTGACTAGCCATAGTGAATTAAGAAAACGTAGAATCACCAAAAACACATTTCTTTCCGTAACTTCTCTTCATAGTTTTATGGTTACTGAGGGGTTTATATGTGTACATTGTTAATTGACAATTAAGGTCAAAAGTAACAAATATAAATCGAAGTGTGTGAGAAATGACAGTGTGGGAAAAAAATGAGTAATCTTGCGTAATCGAGCAATTTAACACGATGAGTAACTATTTGAAGGTAACTGTTGGGAACAATAGCACGAAGCAATAAGTCTGAGTGATAAATTAATTCGCAGAACTTAATTATGCAACAAATCAAGTAAATAAGGTTGCTACTAACATCATGGAATTAATAAAAGCTTTCTGGACATAAAATCAAGGCTTTTCTACGTAGTATGAAAAAGATGTAAGCGCACTCCTATCGGATAGTATTCATCTTACTTTATATATGACTGTCTATGAAATCTCTACTTCTACTGTTGTATGACTAGAGGTCATAGTGTTTTCAAAACTCGATCTGCAGACTGTTCTGCTCTCTCCTTTCAACAACCATGATGATAGTTGTTCAGCTGCTCATCCTACTGGCATGGCCTGTGAACTTAACTCTACAGAGACAAGGGAACCAGTAAATAAACACTGAGGTTTCTGACAATTTAGATGTCGCCTTTATTAGATTATGCTGAACAAGAGCTTGTTTGCAGGAAGTTGGGCGTAGAGATGCAGAAAACGAAGACCAACATACAAAAATTCAAACTCACTGGTAGATTTTAATGTACTCTTGCACGCTAATAAACTAGTTAAGGTGGTGACTTTTCTGCTAGCTAACCACGTATGTGGTCCACAGTTGGATCCCTGGCTGACTCACTCATACCTTGCTCAGCCAGTAGTAATTCCAACAAAGAGGGAAGGGTAAGCATGAAGCTGGTCACACCTATCCCGTAAAAATAAAAAGTTCAATGCTAGTGAAACTTCAAATCTCATACTTGAAGCCCTATACTCTTCTCAGAGAGAGAGGGAGAATGAATGAAAACCAGTTCATTATTAGATCTGGCTATTCTGAGTTTTTCATTCATGAATAATACCCAATAAAACTTACCAGGCGCCGGGTTCAGGGTGATCAAGAATGCTCTAACCACGGGTGGAGGCTCACCATTGCACCTCGGTGGATTGAAACTCGCGATGGACCCTAATCAAGTGTTATAGTTCTTGTCAGTGGGGAGGCCTCACAGTCCTCCCTTTGAATGTGCGTTCGTGGCACAGTGGTTGTGACTCTCGCCGATCATGTACATGGTCCGGGATTCAATCCCCTGCCGACGCACACCTGATATCTATGGTCGGCCTGCAAAATTTGGGCTACAGATATTACATACTGAAAATTCCATACATGTACCAAAAAATACGGTGTGGAAGCAAGCTGTAATCAAAAAAATAATAAATAAATAATGAATAGAGTAAAATAAGTACTTCAGTTTAGGGGCTCTTTTCGATGGATTCATTTCCCTCTTCAACTGTACAACCATATTCATATACAACTTCTTTTCCCATGAAAGACGGCGGTAACAAAAGCGATAAGCTGTCACAATCCATAGTTGCTAATATTAGTCAATGTTATAAAAGGAGTTGAAAAGTATATTAGAGTTACTTGATAAGATGAATACTTTAAAGAATTAGTTGTAATCAGAATGATCATAAAAATGAATGGAAATGTGAGGTTAAATGAGATTTCTAAAAAAATTACAAGACTGTTAAAGAAGGAAAAAAACAAATTAACAAAAATCAAGTTAGAAAACAATTTCCTTTTTGTATACAGATCTCCAAGTTGGTCTGTCTGAATGGCTAGAGCTTCGGTAGTCGAAATGAGACGAGGGTGCATTGACTTTGGTAGGTTGTTGAGACTGAATGTCAAGTGTTGACAAGGTGTTCACGATTATCATACCTCATATTATTCATCGTATGACACAACTCTAATGCACTTATCCAACTCTAATTTTGTGATTGATTAATATTCATAACTGTGATTCTGCCAACTTCAGGTTAGACCACTGATTGATATCAGTTAGGGAACCACTGAAAGCCAGCAGGGAGTACCGGCCTAGCCTGAAACAATTAAAATCCTTGCAAAAACCAATTCCTGGAAAAACATTTAATCAGTTGTTAGCTGGTGTCTGGCTACAGGATGAAGTTACTTCCAGTTCTGGTGAGAATTTGTCACCAGTCAGGTCTATCCAGTCAAGTGTGACGATGGATTTCCCGCCGATGACATTGGTTGATGGTCGCGCTAAATGCAACACCAATCGGTAGAAGTTAGAATTCATGGCCTGGCCACTGAATCGGGTCCCAGTATCTGAATGATATACAAGCTTTCCTTTTAACCGGAAGGTCCTGGGTTCGAACCTTGATGGTGGGTGCGCACTGCCGATGAGTCCCAAACTACAATGAAACAGCTGTCCAGTACTCCGTGTTGGTTCTCAGTGGTTCTCTAACTGTTATCAACCCGTTGTCTAAATTGAAAAAAAATAGAATCTCTACAAAAATCAGTTCCTGAAAATATCAAAACTTCATTTTTGTTACTGCTCTCTTCCATGAGGAAAGCAAGGGTATATAAATGCTATTGCACAGATGAAGGAAAAAATGAGTGAAAATGAACCCAAATAGCTCAGTTGTAACGTCTTTGACTACAGTACTGACTGGTGATGCGGTTTCGAATCTCAGAAGGGATATGAGTCCCTTCAAGGTACCAGATACACCTTTCTGTCTGGTGAGTGTCAACTAGCACAAAACCTAGTTTGAAGGCTTCCTGACGACTGCCTCCAACCATCTTATATCAAAAAATGAATTCTTCAAAAAGAGCCTCTTCACCGAAACTACTTGTTTTTGTTCTTTTCATTCTGATTTTTAAACCTACACTATAGGACAATTACCATGCATTGTTTATTCACAACACCCATTAGCTTTCCAGTAATTCTCAAGTAGTCACTCACAGACGATGAGGCTTAAGCTTCTCCGACAAACATTACATAAGAATTGAAACACTTAAGCAGTTGTTTTTATCAGATTATTACTATCGCATGAAGCATTATTCACTGCGATTTGAAAAAAATGAAGACTACAAATCCGAAAACACACAATCTACTATGATTCATATATTTTAGAAAAAGAAAAGTGGTGCATGATTAAATGGTCAATTATTTAATTAATGAATTAAATAATTATATCTAATCATTAATTGAATAGAAGTAAATATATGAGACTCTGAGTCATTCAACTACTTCTTGTCCCAGCGTGTCGAACCTTATGCAGCATAACTTAGTGAGGTGTTTTCTATAGTCTGATGTATGTATTCAGATGATATCTTTGTGTACGTATGGAATTTACTAATTCGTTTGTACTAAATCTAAGAAACTTACTAATACGTATTTCTCTTTTTCTTTTACAAATATTGCACAGAATTGGTTGGGTGAACATTATACTACTACGAATATTAATTCAAATAAGGTAAGTATTATTGCTTGTAGATATCGGTTGAAGCTGTGATGTTCAGTAATTCAATGATAACGAGATGATATTAGTCGAAGAAGTACTGAAAACTAGGAGGTACTGGACAATTGTTTCACCCTTGTTTGGGACTCTTGAACAGTACACGTCCATGACCTCACAGCCAGGAATCTAACTCCGGACCCTCAGGTTACGAGGCCAGCTTACTGAGCATTCAACCTCCGCTACAGAATCCAATAGCCTGTAAATTTTAACTTCTGTTGATTTTGTCATTTTTAGTGCCATTGTCAGCCAATGCCATTTGTGTGTATTTACCCTCACACCTGACCTGGGGTCCCCAGCTGTCATGACTCCTAACTAGAATAAATACTCACTGGTGAAACCGGGTGTCGGTGGAGGTAAAAATCACGAACCGATAGAAGCCAGAATTCAAGGGCTATTCGGTTCCACGAGTTCGCCTCGTAACCTGAAGGTTCTGGATTTGATCTCCATATTAATGAATCAACCCGATCTGAAATTTCTCTTCATCTACTCCCTAGATCAAGTGTATCACCTTCAAGTCTTAGACTGTACGGATTTGAGTAGTTTGAAGTTTGGTCACGAACTGACTTTAGTTAGAGAACTACTGGAAATCAAGGAGTATTAGACAGCAGTTTCGCACTTGTCCGGATCTCTTCATCAGTCCCTATGGTTGGATGGTCAACAGGCCAGACTTGTAACTTGAAGATCTCAGGATCATTTCTTGATGGTACCATGGGTGTGTACCGCTGAAGGGTCCCAAACTAGGACGAAACAGTTCTCCAAGACTCCGTGTTTATTTTTATTCAGTGGTTCTCTAACTGATATCAGTCTGTGGTAAGACTTTGTTTATGCACTGTAAATAGATATGACATATGAAATGAGTGTACGTTTTGGTAATATTATCATTTGTTTATGACTACATTTCATTTTTGTTTCACGAAAAATCTCGAATTCCTGAAAAGATGAAAGAAGGCTGATATGTCTAGCAATCTAGGTGCGAAAAATATCATACAGATAAAAAATAATCTCAATATTTGCCTCTTCAATTCCATTTAACTCGTCGAATGACGTAAACATTAAGGTGAAATTTAACACGAATCAAAATCATCTGCAGAGGCATTGAAAACAAAGCAAACAGTAGGTGAATAGAAGTTTTCTGCTGGTCAGAATGTCTTCAACGTTGCACATGCATAAGAGCTGCTTGTTAATGACTAACTCTGAAATGAATTTGACCAATGAAACCTACATATTCAAGTATTGGTTTGTAGGGATTTGATCGATTGGTTACAGGACTTCATCATGAGCTGACGTTGGTTAGAGAATTATTAGAAAACCCTGGAGTACTGGACAGCTGTTTCGTCCTAGTTTGGGACTCTTCATCAGTACGCACCAACCGGGGGTCGAACCCAGGACCTTCTGGTTACAAGGCGGGTGAGTGCGTACTGATGAAGAGTCCCAAACTAGGACGAAACAGCTGTCCAATACTCCCAGGTTTTCCAGTGGTTCTCTAACCGATGTCAGCTCATGATGAAATCCTGAAACCTACATAGTTGTCTTTTAGAATAACGATGAGGTCATTCCACTAGACAGAGAAATGTTTAAAAAATTAAAGCAATGCCTCATGGTAAAAACTTGATAAGAAACCTTATTTTCAGAGTGTGATTTGTCCCACTTCAGAGTGAACCATAGCTGCTACACAAAGCCTGAGTCGGGTAGAATAGTGAAACCGAAACATTACGTTGACTATATGTGTCCAAACCAAGTTCACTTTTAACAGTTTGAAAAAATTTGGGCATTGGGTATATGATATTCATTATGATAAAGGTTTTTTTTGTATTTCCCAATGAATGAAAAACAATGGACGATATTGTTTTTTTTTTACTGACGTTTCGCTATTTAATGCTAATAGCTTTATTGAAGCATTATTAAATCAGAATTAACAAAATCTCAGCTTATATATAACAACTTAATCATCGTTCCTCAGCATGGGGTTATTTTTGCGTTGTCAAATTGGCCAATTGGTAAAGATAACAAAGCCAGGTGTAGATTGTTGGATTTGATAAGTGTATAAAGTTATAAAAACAGCGTGTGTTTACATAATGAAATTGCTTATCACACTCGTGTTGATTTTGTCACTTCTTGGAGGAGGGAGGTGTTGTAACCAGGTCAAATTCTGTTTTAGTCCATCATTCCTATTCAGACAATTTGGATTCCACTTGATATGAAGTGCTTCTGATATTAGACGTTCTTTGTGATTTCTGAAATGCTTTTCTGGATTATTTCAATATTGTCAAAATCAATTTTGTGGCCTGATTCTATAGCGTCGTGTGATGACCTATGGCTGATGATTTTTCAAGCTTTTCTAGTTCATAACTGGATTTCTTGGTGGTCAAACAGACACTCAGTCTACGGTGTTCATTTCTTCTGATTTTGATTTTTCGCGAGATGTTTGTCCGATGTATATCGCATCACATTCCAAGCAGGTATTTTATTTTATAGAAACAATTAGATAGAGAATCTTTAGGGATTTGGCCTTTTATCTGGACAAGATTGCTTCGCAGTGTGTCTGACGTTTTGAAGAAAACTCTGATGTGTTGTGCTTATTGAGTACTCTTCTGATATCGTCTGACGTCTCTACTCTATATGGAATGACAGCTGTTGAGGTCCATGTTTTCGGAATACGTTTTCGACCATACTTAATGTCAGTGTTGATTTTGTTGATGAAGTTCACTGGGTAGTTATTTTGCTTGAGAGTCTCAGTAATGTTTGATACTTCTTCTTTTTCTTTCTCATCCACTGACATCAAAGAGTGTGCTTGTCTTAGAAGACTTGAAACAACTGATACCTTCGCGCTGATGGAGTATGATGATCCAAAGTCTAAAGATTTGTTGGAGTGGGTTTTCTTCCTGAACATAGATATACTAAAATGTCCGTTTCCCTCCTCTTAACTAGGCAGTCTAGAAATGGTAGTTCACCGACGTCTGATTCTGCTTTCGAAATAAACTGGATTCTGGGAGATTGATTGTTTAGTTTCTCCAGGAATGAACTGTGTAGATCTCGTTTTAGCACTACAGAAGTATCATCTACATATCTTAACCATATTTTAGGCGTGTATATGCTTGGAAAGATGTCATCTTCGAATCTATTCATGGAAAGATCAGCGACTATTGGGGAAACTGGTGAACCCATAGCAACACCCTTTGTCTGTCTATATAAATTCCCTTTAAATGTAAAATAATTACTTTCTAGATAGAATTTCAAGCTCCTAATTATTTCACTGGTGTCCAGTGGACATCTTTGTGACAATGTTGTATCTGATTCTAGTAAACTGAAAATGATATCAAGACTTTCGGTAATAAGGATACTAGTATATAATGAGTTAATATCATTTGCTTACCATAATGTCTTCTTTATCAATTTCTCGGTGTTCTATTTGGGATTTGAAATCATATGAATCTTTTACAATATTTTGAGTGTCCTTTTGCAGTGGTTGTAGTATCGAAAATAAGTATTTAGAGAGGTTGTATGTCGGTGAGTTGGTAAAATCTACTACTGGTCATAATTGAACTGTAGGTTTATGTATCTTTAGTTGACCGTAGAATCTTGAAGGTACATAAGATTTTGGTTTTAGTTTAAACCAGAGAGAATTTCCAATTTTTGGGGTTTCACTTCACTTAAAGGAGTCTGTTGGTATTTAGTTTCATTTTGTTGAATACACGTTGATTACAATCCAACGACCACTTTGTGTAAATAACCTTAAATTACCAATCACTTCACTCGATTCCTTTTTGTTTTAATGCTCTTTTTTTTAATTTTTTCAAGAACATTTTCAATCGAAATGAAAGCATCACATTACCATCACATACAGATCAGTTATATCTACGTATTGGTGAAACAAAATGGAAAAGAAGATATCTTCATATAAATCCAGATGGTTTGTATTTCAGTAAACAAAAATCAGTCGATGTAAGTGATTACATTACAGCACCTTTCATTTACTTGGCTTTTCAGTCATTCATCGCATATCTTATTAGTAAGAATTCATTGGTGTACATCAAGTTCTCCTCTAGTTAATAAATTTTGTATGCATGAATTTGTGATGTCTTTATTTTTACACGAACAACTTTCGCACCAGCGTATAATGGCCAGACCAGAAGTCGACCCATTGAAAGTTTTGTAACTAGAACGTCGAATCTCTTCCATCATCTGAAGAAAAAAACTTTGAGGAATCTATATTGCATGTCAAGAAGCTAAGATATACAGGAGAATAACTTATCTCCTCCATATCACGCTGGGATCCTTGCCCAACTTAAACGCCGGCCTAGCACCGGATTTCACCCAGCAGCCTCTTCAACGTGTATCCTATCCACCTCCATTTTCTTCGGAATATTTGTTGAGCAATAGGTTCTTTAGTGCTCTGTTCCTAGAGTTTCTTGTTGCTAATTCTTCCTGGCCAGCCATTTTATCTTCACTGTGGAGCCAGTGAAGGCAGTTGTTGTTAAAAGTCTGCTGCTAGCTGTTAGAAATGCCTTTCATGAGGTACGCGACAAGTTTTTGACCCATACAGAAGAAGTGTTGAAAATCTAAATTCTATCGGCTCCTAGTATCTAAAAACAAATATTCATTGATACCAGTTGCAGAAAATGCGGTCAGTGTGACCCACATGACCTAGTGGGTAATGCTTCGGCTTTTTTAAACGATAGATGAAGGGTTCGTGTCTCATTGAGAATGCTGAAGAGGCCACAAGAGGACGAAATGCACATTCCATGTACTACTGCTAGTCACTATCAACCAAAATAACTTTAAATGTGAAATACACTTGTCATCAATAAATAGTTTATAAATTGTAATTGTTATTCACACTCCACTCTAAAATTAATTTAATTTTGTTTTATTTTATTTCTTTGCCTTATCTATACAAAAACAAAATCGGGGTGGTGATGGGACTGTGATAATGAAGAAAAATTCTCTAAGACGTTTGAATATATTTCAACCAAACTTGTATTTATTTTGTACAATGGCTAATCAAACTAATTCAGAATTACCTACTCCATTTCGACTGGTTATACGGGTAAGTAATTCATTGAACTATGTGTATGGATTATGAATTTTGTTTTTTTTAAAGATTAACCATGAAGTGACTAGAGTTAGAGAACTAGGCAGCATTGTTTCGTCCTTATTTGAGACTGCTCTTCAGTAGTAACCAATCATCACTCCACGAGAAATAGAACTTAGGACCTTTAGATTGCAAGAAGAGCTCGTCAGCACTTCAACCGCCTGTGGGGTGGGGGATTTAGTGACCCATCAATTATAACTTCTGTCAATTACCTTTTAGCGAATGTATCAGAAGCTATTTGTTTTAATTTTCTATTGTAAGTCAGGCTTTTACTATTACTGTAGTCATTCTAAGTATCAAGGGGGTTAGCTTTTACATCTAAGAGGCAATATAACAAATGGTGCGTGTTTTTTATTATAGAATGGGTTAAATTGTCTTAACATGCCACAATGACGGAGAGGATAAATTACTATACAAATAAATAAATAAGCGTGAGGAGACAAATATCTTAAAACCTGATATAAATTCTTAACCTGTTGGGTACATACTGCTGAAAAGTCCCGAACCAGGACGAAAAGGTATTCTTCAGTAGCCTCTGTTGGTTTTCAGCGTTTCTCTAAATGACACCAGTCCCTGATCTATCTTGAAAAAAACCAAATCTCTACAAAACTAACTTTTGAAAATTAATCTGACGCTTACTAGTTACTGACTACAGGGTAGAGCTGCCTGGAGTCGATCAGCTTGAGTGTGAGGACGATTAATAACCGATGACACTGGCTGCTCGTCGTGTTGAAATCGCGAAATGGTAGAAATTAGAATTCATGGACTGGCCATTGGATCAGGTCCCAGTGGTCAATGAATGGTCTATGAGTTTAGCTTGTAACCGAAAGGACATTGGTGAGCGCTGGTTAAGACTCGTGAATGATGAAGGAACTGTCCAGTACTCCCTGGTGGTTTAAAAACGATCCATTCCGTGGTCCGACTTGAAATGACTATAGTAATTAGGATACTCAATTGGTTTGTTCAACTCAGTAAGCATACCTAGTTCTTCATGGCGGATAACTATTAAGTGATGTTTAAATAATCAGAGTTGACCACAGTTATCACTTTTAGCTATTGAAAACTTCATATTTACCATTAAAAATGAAATCATTAATATCATGTCACTTAGCTTGATGACCATGCCACACTTTTATTTCATAGATGTTAGCCAACACCCAGGACTAATCAACATATTTGTTATCATTTAACAGTCAATATGAACGCGTCGTACAGCATTATTGTATCGGGAGAAGATGATAGACTTTTATTCAGAAACAACTCATTATATTTATACATTCACAGGCAAATTAAAATTTGGCGAGTTCAGAGAAGAACAAATTGTTACTATTGTTTGGTAATAGACCTAAGGTTGTAAAAGGTTGTCCAGTGATATTATTTCATGACTGCGACGCAACCTAAATCCATGAATTGTTGGTATTAGATGGTTAGAGGTAACTGACAGTAAGCCTCAGACCTAGATTTAGTGCTCGTTGGCACCCACTAGTCAGCAAGGCGTAACCGCTCTCTCCTGAGATTCGGACTCGTCTCACAAAGTTCTGTAGTCAGAGATGTCACCACTGAGCTATTTGGGCTCATAAATGACCTCCTTTGGCACTGTATTGGATACTCTGATTGGACACTAGGTGATAGCTAGTGTTGACGAGTACCAACCAGCACGAAACCTAGGTCCAAGGCTTCCGGCTGATTGCCTCTAACCATCTAATACTAACAATTCATGGTGCACAGTCATGGCGACTAACCTAACATGTTGGCCACATTGGAAACTTGTCTGATAGAATTCAGTCTGCACTACACTATTTACTGACTAGTGTCCAATCAAAAATAAACTAAATCCAGATTTGAGAAATAAACACTTCAACCTCTGCAAGTATTGACCTAAAATGTTAGTTTTAGTTTTAGCCTCTTCCTGACTATCTGCATCAAGCCACATTTTAAGGTGTCAGATATAACCTGATAGATGTAATAACAATATCACCGATTTAAACAACGCCTGAAACAATTTCCAGTCTTAAAACAAATACTCTGTGCTAATGAATGACGGAAACTCTGAGGTAGAAGTCCAGCAGGATTTTCAATCAGATGATTCTTAACATCTATAAGCAAAGCTAATTGACTCAGAAAACTTAGTAAATCTCCCAGTTACTACATTTGTACTAGATTATTTGACTGAAATCTACGTTGAAGATGTTTTCTCTGGAAGGATGATGAATGTTCCGCAATTAGACCATCCACCTCAGAGAATGTAACCACGGCAAAGTTAAAGAATGCCTATCCAAGCAATGCGAACGCAAAACTAGCCGAGAAGCAACCAATCAGAAAAACCAGTATCTTTCCCATATAAACACCATTTATTTACTAGAAAACTTCGGTTAGTAATCATATTCATCGGTAACCTATCTACTACGGAAATACAGATAAATAAAATAAAACATCTTAACCCCAATAGTACCACTAATGTGGTGTATGCTACTGGCAAGATTCATCAGTAGTATATAGACGCAGACTGGTAGGAAGCAGCTAAAATTGAAAACAACATTTCAGAGTCAATGGCTGTGGAGGTAGAAGTGTTTAATTCATCAAATCTGGATTTAGTTTACTCTGTGGTCAGGAAATGAACTCACTGGACAAAATTTCATTTCAAGGTTTAACCTCCAGCAAATCGAAAACCAATCAGAACAGTAAATTGTCCTCTGACCTAGCTGACCTTTAAAATGTATAAATATGGTATGTTTTACCTTAACAAAAACGTCTGTTAGAAAATCTCTTCTGCGGTTACACTAACCCCAACCGTAGTCCAGATCCTTACTCTAACATGTACTTAAAAATGAGATAGGGATGAAATTTGCACTCTTATTCATTCACACCGTTTAATATAACGCTATAAAAGTGGTAAATCCCGTTATCCAATGAACAGTATGCGTTCAGGATCACTGATGCGTTCGCACTCCTGAATCTCTATTCTTTAACTTGATTGTAATCACATCAAAATAACTGCGTTTTCTATTAACAGCAATACATAATAATTTAATCCAATATAGATTTTCCCTTCAATTGATTGAAACGAAGTGCTCAGTCTAAAGTTGACATGTCGGCTTCTTTTGAAGATTCTTCGACAATGTCTAGGCGTGTAACTAGAAGTTAACTGGTGGATGGTGACTATCAGTCGAATCCAAGATGCACATCTCGTCCTACTTGGGACTCGTCACTGGTTGTACTTGCATTCCCCGGCGAATGATAGTGTTCCCACTGAGGCTCCAACCCAGTGCTGTGGAGTGTGAAAACCATGGGTAGTGGGCTGGAGCCGACGTGGGAAAATCATCATTCACTGAGGAATGCAGATACATCCAGAAGACGAGTCCCAAACAGGACGAAATGTGGAACCTGTATCCCACTGCTAGTCACCATCCACCAACTGACCTCAAGTAATACATAATAGTTTGAAATATGAGAAGTAGTAGATTTTTCTAAATCCTTCGTTGTATGAAACTCAGTTGTTGTTTTTTTCAGTAGAAAACACATTATCTTATGTAACTGGCATGTCTTTTCATCTTTTGAAATTAAGATATACTATACAATTCTCATTCATAGCCTGTTTTGTATTATCTGGGTTTCTATTTTGTAAATCTTGTAGCCTAATTCAAGTCAACATGTAGATCCTCGGATGACTGTTGAAATGTGTGCTCTTAGCGAAGATTCATGGAAAATATGGTATTCCCTACTTCGTATCGCTCTGGTGAGTGGCATTTCTCTATGAACTACCTCACAGTTATCATTTTTTAATGTAATTATACGATTTTGAAATTGACACCTTAAGATAAATGTTATAACGTAGACTGTTTTGTGGTTTAAAAATGGAATTGTTAAGTCATTTGGCATCAGAGAGGATCATGTATGAGTTTGTGAACTACACTCATACTTTTTAAATATATTTTTTATGCGATAAAGTGAAGAGAAACGTTTATTTAGGTTAAGTGAAAGTAGGGTAAGAAAATCCGACCAAAATTATACTACTAATAAACTTATGTAGTTATCAGTAATAAATGCTGATTAATTTCCAATTCCGCCAACTACATCAGAATGATCCAAACAACTAACAAAGTGAAGCATAGGGCTTCAGGCTTTGAAATTTCAGTAGTAATGATGATATTATACCTTGTGAGGTTGCTATTTTCATGCCTAACCTTCCCTCTCTTCCAGAGTTATTATTAGCTAGTGAGCTAGGCGGTTTAGGAGGGCACCGAACGAGAACTGAACCGGAATCTTTCGCTTAGACAGCTGAACGCTACGATAGAGCTAGAGACTGATTACTGGAAAATCAACCCAATCGCTATGGAGACTTTAAAGCACAGTAAAAACAGCCTACTATCCATTGATGACATTCCTAATTATGGTGGACTGGATCATGCTTCAGATCGTAGAGAAAGAGATGAAAGGAATACACTGGACAGGTAGGAAGACTCTAAAAGTTCTGGACTTTCCGCGTGATTTATGTCTAGTGTCACACAAACTCGAAAACTAACAGGCGACAACGAAAAAACTGGCTGAAGAACCAAGAGGTGAAGACATTACACAGCTGACTACGTGACAGTGCCATGTGTCAGGTGACTCACAACGGAAATCTCAGCGAGGCGTTTGAAGTGAATACATGAATAAGACAAGTCTGGCTACCTATTATCATCACGGATGATATCCCTAATTCTGGTGGACTGGATTGTGCAGAAGATAGTGTGTGGGGAGTGAGAAGATAGGAATATACTGGACCGATGAGAGGACTCTAGAAAATCTGGATTTCAGGCATGGATGTTTTGATGTTTAACGTCACACAAACTCGAAGACTTACAGGCGAAAACCAACAAGTTGGCTGAAGAAGCAGCAAGTGGCGAAGACAGGACTCCAGGTGAACATAGAGAAGACGTAGCCAACAGCAACAGCAACAACAACCAGCACCAGTCACCATCAACGGGAGAGATTTGACACAGGTTACTTCCTTCACTTATCTAGGCTGTAAGCAGCGTTTCAGCTAAAGGTGGAATGGATGAAGATGTCAAAGGTAGGCAAGACAAACTTTTACTGCCCTATAATCAGTGTAGAAACCTGCTGTACTCCGCCTTAGCATAAAAAACAAGATTTGGATTTTGAACATTGATGTCAAGTAATTCAGTGCTTCTTTATGGTTCAGAGACTTGGCAAACACGTCACTGAAAGCCTTTCCAACAGGGTACTGCAGACTTCCACCAACCAGCTGTCTTCGTCGGCTCGATGGTGAAGGCCAGATGACCAGAAAAAATAAGCAACAAGAAACTATGGTAGTATAATGAACCAACCAACCAACTGACCAAGAAGCTATTGCCCACTAAATATGTCGAAGAAAATGGAGATAGATAAGACACACGCTGAAGAGACTGATGAGTGACATCTCGTGCAAGACTAGCCCTCTAGTGAAACCTGGATGGAAAATGATGAGTTGGGAAAGGGTGCAAGTATAACATGGAGAAGATCGTTTGAGGAAGAAATGAGCGACTATGGTAAATCATGGCGCCAGCTGAAGAGGACTGAAAACAAAACGATGAGTTGGAGATGTTCTACTTGGAACCCAAAGGAATAATAATAATCATATCCAATAACCTTATAACATCATACATTTATTCCCCTTTATGAATAAGAATAAAACAAGAACAACAGTGGTTTGTGCAGAATAATATGGTACCATCCTTTGTTTATTTCGTTGGCTTCTCATCAGCTACTGCTTACAGCCTAAATAAATTACTATTGAGTTCATGCACAGAAAAGTTTGAACGCACTTGAAAATTTTACATGATGTCAGTTGACAGAAGGTTCCGAACTTAGTGAACAGTGCTCAGAAAATTATGCCTATACAGCTTTTACACAGGTAGTTCAAGTTTAAACAAAGTAATTGTATGCAAACAATGGTAAAGGAGTTACGTAATAAAGACGACAGATGCATAACAATGTACTGAGTTAAACTCAAATCACAGGAACAAGAGATAAACACAATTACACTTTATCAAATGGCGGGGAGGTTAAAGCCAAAGACTGCGTAATCAAATGAAAGAGAGAATAAAGACATCCAGACTTACCAGGGCAGGGAAAGACTGCTTCTTTATGAACACATCAATCGAGTTTCAGGCGTTTGAAAGACATTGCTTCTGCAAACTTGAGGATAAATGAGCTTTTTTGTCTATTGATAATTTTACAGGATTTTGCGATTTTCACCTCATTATCCGTATCAAGGAGACGCCTGATAATGTCACTATTGTAAGCGTTTGTTCTTTTGAGACGTAGGCTTTTGCGGTACATATTCAGAAAATCGGAGGTATGCCCTTCTTTTTGAGCACTTTCTGATCAATGTTCACTAAGTTCGGAACCTCCTGTCAACTGACATCATGTAAAATTTACAAGTATGTTAAAACTTTTCTGTACATGAACTTAATAATAATTTATTTAGGCTGAAAGCAGATGATGAGAAGCCAACGAAATAATTTTTTTGTATTCCTTTACGTTCCCAATGGAACATAGGGCTTCAAGCTAGAGGCTTGAAGTTTCGGTAGCAGTGGTTTTTATTCTTTTTACGGGGTTGGGTTGCTAGCCTCATGCCCAAACTTCCCTCTTCACCAGTCGTATTATCGGATTAGTAAGGTAAAGGAGTGAGTCAGCCGGGGTTTGAACCCCGGACCACATGTGTGGTTGGCGAACATTCTATCGCTGTGCCATCGACGCACGACGAAATAACTGGTGGTAGCATATTATTCTGCACAAACCATTATTGTTCTTGCCTTATTCAACTTTACAACAATTCACTTTTTAATTATAAAATCTAATCAATCCGATTTTGTATTTAAAAATGATTTAAAAATTTATCAAACTATAAAGTTTGACAAATACAAGAAGGGAAACAGAAATTCTCTGTTTAACGTCATATACAAAAACACAAATCTGCTAAGAAAAACCAAAATAAAACGTTTTCCTGACGAATATGCGAATTCATCAACCGCAGAAATTGGAGCTTATATACTACATATGTATATATTTATACGCGTACATATTCTTTCGTCAAGTAGTGTTCTTCTGTGACAAATTTTATTATTATTATTATTATTATTATTATTATTCTCCTCACCGTGATATTAACCACGCCCAATTGTGTGATTTCAGTGCAAACTAATTGATGCAACACACACAGAATAGTTTAGGGGAAAGGCAACAGAGAACAGAACTGGTTAGAGACAGATTGGCAAACAGAGAGAGAGAGTGAGAGATAACGAGATAGATAGATAGAAAGGTATATAAATAGGCAAATAATAGGGAAATGAAAAATGGGATAAACAGTAAACGAAAAAAATCCTACTGATTTTGATGCATTTCTCCTATTTATTTCAATGAACAAAAGCTGCGATAGCAAGGTGAATAGGCCTCACTGTCGTATACACATATCTCCCTCTCTCCCTCTTTGTGTCATTGATATGCAACTAAACGATTGAATGAGAGGTAAAACTTAGAGTAAAACTCATTGTCTATATTATCTAAATATACAAACAAAGTAGTTAAGCCTACCAGTTCACCGTATCAGTAGTAGTAATAGTAGTAATAATGATAACAATAATAACAGCATTACACAGTAGTGAATTAACTATCAAAAACTATTCAGCTACTCACCTATTGTTGATTCCTGAATGGACACACACACTACCCCTCTCTCTCGTTCTATCTCTTCCAAATAATACAAAGTCTAACTGTCTACTGTCAATATTTACTCAAGCATAATCGCCTCTATTGTTTCTATTGATACAATGAAACTTTTGTTTTCATAGGTGTATGTATGTATGTAAGTGTGTGTGTTTTCTGAGAATAAATAAAATAAAGGCTGAATCCAGTTGATGTGAGATCTATTCAACAATAAATACTTAGGTTTGATTGGATGGAGGATTTCATCATGAGCTGAAATCAGTTAGAGAACCACTGGAAAACCTGTAGGGAGTACTGGACGGCTGTTTCGTCCTAGTTTCGGACTCTTCATCAGTACGCACCCACCTCAGGTGGTTCGAACCCAGGACCATTGAGCCACTGGGACCCGATCCAGTGGACAGTGCATGAATTCTAACTTCTGCCAATTCACGAAATAGCGCGACCATTTCTCAATGTCTTCTTCGATGAGTTACTGCTTCATCTTCATGGCTTCCCACTAGAAGGCCAGGTTAACTGCCTGAATAGGGCCAGTCTCTAGGTGAGCATCAGATTAATTTTCAAGTATTGGTTTTGTAAGGATTTTGTTTGATTGGATGGAGAATTTCATCCCTACAAAACCAATACTTGAAGACTTAGGTTTGTGTTAGAGATGTTGATGTTGACTAAAGTTAATCATTATATAACTAATGGAATATTAGGTGTCTATCAATTAGACGGACAATCAAATTTGGTATTTACGCTAGGCAATATGACCAATTACAGTTTCTTAATGTTTCAACTTGAGTGGATCATTCACTTGGGTAGAATGTTTGTCAGTCATGCACATGGTCCGGGTCCAATTCCTCCTGACAAATCTGAAACCTGGCCAGTAGTAAGCCAGGAAAAGAAGAAAGGTTTGGCTTGAGACTACCAACCCGACCCTATTCAAAAACAAAACAACACTGTAGCTACTCAAACTTTAAAGCTTGAAGGTCTATGTCCTGCCTGAAGTGCTGATGAAGAGTCCTAAACTTGGAGGAAACAGTTGTCCAGTACCCTTTTTTGATTTGCAATGGTTGTCTAGCTAATATCAATCCGTGATCGAACTTGAAACAGATCACATCCCTACAAAACCAACTCTTAGAAATTAATCTGATGCTGACTAGCGATTGACTACAGCATGAAGTTGCTTAGGGTTCTAATGAAAAACCATGACCAGTGGAGTCCATTTGGTGAGGCATGAAAGCAAATACTAGCCAATGACATCAGCTGATGATCGCACTAAGAAATTATGAATTAGTAGGAGTTGGAATTCACGGACTGGCCACTGGATTGGGTTCCAGTGGCTGGAATAGTCTATGACCTTACCTTGTGACTGAAAGTTCCTAGGTCCTAACCCCAGTGATTGTATGAGTACTGATGAGGAATGCTAAACTAAGATGAAACATCTGTTCACTACTAACTCTTGATTTTCAATGGTTCTCTAACTGATATCAGTCTGTGATCAAGCTTGAAATAAACTAAAGACTAACTCTTGAAAGTTGCTTATTTTTGTAAACGAATTTTGTTTCCCTAATTTCCAAGATTATTACGACAAAATATTTGGTACTCCTTTTTGTTCACCAAGCTTCACTTTCCTTAACTGCTTCACTTTAACACTAGTTTAACATAACATTTAGTAGTATTTATCCATGAAGTTCCTTCTTTTAATACAAAATCCTGAAGTGAGTTAAGTCAATATTCTAAGAATTTTAACTCTGTATAAACAACTACAGTTAATGTCATCAATAACTATCATTCCTTATTAGTCCATCAAAAAAACAAATTTTAGTTACATGTACAGAAATTTACACATCATTATTATTATTTGCCCCCGTTTGGGTTACTAGTGGAACATGGAGCTTCAACAGTACACTGCCATTCCACTCTGCCGCCCACAGTCTTTTTTCTAACTGACTGACTGCACACAGCCTCCTTTATGTTATCTTCAGAATCACGTCCAACTCATCGTTTCTCAATCGTGTCTCACTCGATGGCGTAAGTGATTTCATCAGAATATATCCACTCTGTCTTCATTTCGGAGTTCTTCATCGTTTCTGGTCGGATAACTGAACTTCACTATCGAAGGAAGTCACAGAATGCATAGCACTAAAGTTTATGACTTTATGAGAATCTTAAAATAAAAAATATTCCTATAATAAAATTTAGAACAACACATTTAAACAAACAATATTGTTTTCAATTAGATCTCATGAGCCTTAGCTCTAATATTATTATTATTATTGTATCCTTTAATTCGTAGAGGAACATAGGGCTTCAGCCGTGCGTCTCCATTGCGTTCGGTTCTCTGCTAGAGTCTTCACCTGTCTCCATGTCTGCCCACACGTTTTCATCTCCTCTTCACATGACCTCCTCCTCTAATATACATAACTTTAAAAATAAGAATTAAAATATAAACCAATCACGATGTTTTGTCAATAGGATAATAAGATTGTGCATGTAAATTGTGCAATTATTCAAAATAATTGCAGATCAGGTGTGAGGACAAATACTTGCCGAAGACATTGGCTAGTGGTCGCGCTATGTCATGAATTGGCAGAAGCTGGAATTCTTGAGCTGGCCATTGGATCAGGACCCAGAGGCTTAATGGTCTACGAGCTCATCTTGTAACCAGAAGGTCGTGGGTTAGCCACATGGTGGGGGGTGCGTACTGATGAAGGGTCTCAAGCACTATGACGAAACAGTACTCCCAGGTTTTCAAATGGTTCTTTAACTGATATTAGCTTATGATTAAATCCTGTAGCCATTCAATCAAATCCCTATAAACCAATACTTGAATAGTAATGATAATAATAACGGTTCTCTCAGTAACAAAGTTGAAAAAGTGAGGTGATCTGTGATTACAAGAATAGCGAAAAACAATACGATTAAGCTAACAAATGTTCAGGTAGGCGTGGCAATTGATAAAGGCCAGGAAAACAAATGGACCGATTGAGTAATGCTGGATTGTAGGGAAAGTAAATAAAATACGTTTTAGGGAAGATGTGATAAGATCAAGAGATGATGAGAGATGGGTTGAAAATATAAGTAAGGGGTGGTAGAGGCGTCATTATTCGGCTATGTCTCAACAGACCAAGGGAGGGATTATCGCTGTACGATCCTCTTTTGAATGCATAGCTTAGACTTAGTAGTTCGAATGAATATCGTCTCAGGTATGTACAATAGACAAATACAAAGTCTATTGGTAAGATTCGGTAGGATGCGATGAATCACCTTGAATGCCTTCGTTTTCTCTGCTACATTACGACTGTCAACTGAATGGGACAAAATGGAGCTACAGATTGTCTTTGTCTGTCCTCCGGCAAACCAATATGGGAGATATTCAGTAGTGACACGGTGGTTAAGCTGTCTAGTAGTACGCCCAACAGAAGTGTCACTGCAGGTGCAGTTGAATCAATAAATGCACATAGATGTGACAAAACTATCCTTCGTTCGTGTGGCAATCACTTGTGACAATCATTTTTACCAGTCAACGCTAGATATGATATACTTCTGTCAAACTAATTATACACTATGCTATCCATTTTGAGAACTTGTAAAGTTAAAGCTTTTGGTATTAAAATTAAAATTTATTTTTAAAACCATCTAATCAAAAACTAATAATATTTACTTCCAATCTCTATGTTTATTGCATTTTTTTCCCGTTATAGTTTGGCAAAAGACTATACACTAATTATATTGTCAGATCAGATATTGTGAAAATTCATCGTGAAAACTGTTCACGTATGGACTATCAACTCAGGAATTCATCAAATTTTAGCTCAATCACCGACAGACCAACATCACTAGCTACATATGACTTAGAAAATGAACAGATACTAGGCGATGTACACTCATCTCTTGGGCCTAGTTCAAAGACAAGTTCTATAGATATCGGGTTTCCACCAAAATCAAGCAGTTATAGTGTAACTGATCTAAGTAAACCGCTGTACTTGAATTCCTCATCTATGAATGGTAATCATCACCATCATCATCATGATTATCGACCAAATGAAGCTTCAAGCTTGACTAGTCTAACTCTCTATCCAATACAAACATCAAGAGATCAATCAGGGAATCGTCAAAGTCGACTGGATAAACGAAATATTAAATCAGTGAAAAAACGTATCTTTGGGTCTGGACCATCTGCACGTCGGTGTACACGTTCGATTAGTCAGATTAGTTCACCGTTTAATATCACTTTACCACAATGGATGCGTGCTAGTTATGAAGATAAAGTGAATGAAAGATTTAATGAAACAGTATTATAAAATATTATTATCATTATTATTGTTACGTAATCGAAGCAGTGAATAACACTCTTCTTCTTCTTCTTTGCATTCCAAACTATGTTTGTATGTATGATGTGTGCACGTTATTTGTAAGCAAATACCTCTGTAATGTTTAGTTATCGTATCATGTCTACATTCATTCTCTCAACACCTACAACAACAACAATAAAAACACATCTAACAGACAGCCTTTTACCTGTCAAAACGAAACGAAACTTATTCAAAGGATACAAGTGAATATATATAGACTGGATCCTTGGATAAGCTGATGTACACGCGCAGATGCAAACACACAAACACGCACATACAAACACACACACAGAGAAATATCAATCGCTTACTCGCTTTCAGACTTACCACTTTTTGTACAATTTGAACAGATGCCTAACATTTTCTAAAATGAAGGTAAATGCAGCGCATTATTACACATGAAAAACTCACTGTGTAAAGTGAGTGTTTAACAAATGCAAAAACCCTACAGATTATAAATTATTACTATTATTATATATATAAAAGTATTGTTACTATAAAAATTCTGTTGATAACACAATACAAGAGATATGATACACTAGAAAATGTGATTTATTGCCAGAATTCCTATATTTAATTCTTACTTTTTATTCGTTTTCTCCCTAAGATTTTCACTTATGATACTAAATAATCGGATATATACATATACTACTTATTTAAACTACTTATAAGCATCAAACTTTTCAACAGAATACGGATCATTATATTATAAACCACTGACTGTTGTACACGCACAAAAACTTGCATACATACATCTAAAGGTGGAAAAGTGAATACAGTTTTCTATTTTTCTGAAATATTTCTTTCTACTACTACTACTACTATTACTCATGTTTTAATCTCAGTTTTGAGATCAGATTTTTTTAATTTCATGGAAAGATTTTTAACTGTACATATATAAAAACACCGACATCAACCGACTCAGAATACATATACATATATACCCTATGAAAGGTAATATATAAATATATATGTATCTTAAAAATTAAAAACGCCCGCCATTGTTTTGTTTGGCGTACATTTTAAAGTAAGAGATGATGAATTTCTTCTTTTCTTATGCGACCTGGTTTTCACTTTCTTTTTCTTCTGATTGACATATTTGAAACATTCAATAAACACTTCGATACTTCTAGAAATTAACAATATTAATAATATTATTAATATTATTTTTAAAATGAGAATTAAATTCAGATTGTTTTTTTACTAAATATTATATATAAAAAAGTATATTTCATTTGATTTGATAAAATACTCTTTACAGACTGGCCAGTAAGTGAATGAATCAATAGCTTAGTTAGTTAGTTAGTTAGTTAATTAATTAATTAATTAATTAATTAGCTTCTAATAGTTCCACTAAATGTCTTAACTGCAATTTAGATTTTACATTTTATGGGAATTTGCAGTTATCAAATTCGTAATGGAAATTAGTTTGCAATTTATACTGTTTTACCTGATTATTACATTACAGTTTGACTTGGAAAGCGAGATTATTTAGATTACAGAATGTATTGTGCTTGATACCGTAAATAATAATCAGGAAAATGAGCATATTTGCGCATAACTATATACTACTGATTGATTGAGATGAGTAGTTGTATACCACTCATATCAACCAGCAGTATGACTTGTTAGCTAGCCAGACAGAAGTGGTCTAAACACCGAATGGACGTTCCAATCACTGAATCACTTCTCAGTCTGGCTAGCAAGTGATACTGATTGATATGAGTAACATACAACTACCCACCTCAATCAATTAACTCTGTAATAGATCTCTCCAAGAATTGACATCAATTGGTGAATCGTTGGTATTAGATGGTTGGAGGCACTCATCAGCAAGGCGAATCTGCAGCTTTGAAGGAACTCATGTCCCTTCTGAGAATCAGTTTGATAGAATTCAGTCAGCACCAAATATAGGAATGGACACATTACACTAGTTATTGACTAGTGTCCAATCAAAAATATCCAATATAGTCCTACAGGCGGTCAATCGCAAGGCCTAATAGCTCAGTGGTAACGTCTCTGACTGCAACACTGGCTGGTGATGCCGGTTCGAATCTCAGAAGGGAAATGAGTTCCTTCAAGGTTGCAGATACGCCTTGCTGACTGTTGAGTGCCAACTATCACGAAACATAGCTGAAGGGCTTCCTGCCGATTATCTCCAACCATCTACTACCAATAATTCACAGTGCACCGTGATGGCGAGTCACCTAGCATGGTGGCAACATTGCAAGCTTGACTGATAAAATTCAGTCTGCACCGAAGATAGGACCAGACACATAACACTGGTTGATGACTAGTGTCCAATCAAAAATTGGTGAATCACTGATAACCAAGGATGGCCCGTTTCATTTTAGTTTGGAATTCTTCAGGCATTACTCAACCATGTCGGCACTAGGAATCTACGTGGTCAGCATTTGATGCCTTCTCAATTAACCTCGAGATCATGTTCCTGTATTGAGAGAGATGGAAACTAATGAATTCAGATTAAAATGTTTGAATGCTATTTTGTTTTAATTCTTTCAAAAATTTTCAAAAGAACGGACACTGAACAAAGGATACTCTTTTTGATAACTTCATCATCAGGCTCTACAGTTATATATACACGTAACAGTGAATAAATGAATTAGTGTTATGAACAACATTAATGTTGTTTAAATAAAATCGAATCAATAATATTGATAGATTACAGCTCAATGGCATCAACATAACAATAAACTGAATGTCAGAAAAATTAGGAAAGATAATATTACAAATTCATGAGTTTATAGTTTCTACTGAAGGCTGGCCAGGGCACTGGTAGTGGCTGGAATTGCTTCTTTTGCACACAAAGCACTTTGATTGAAAATTTATCAAGAAACACATGATAAAGAAAGCGGACAGGGAATACTCACTATCCGTAAACAAGAAGCCTGTTTATATACGACTGCAATTCAAGGGCGATATACCAAGTGAAATAATTACAAAGAAATTAAGATAATCAGTTCAAAGGACTTTTGATGCTGACGAACTACACGTATTATTCTCCACACGACCGATGGTGATTCCTCGACTGAAAGATTAACTACCTAGACTAGCTACTTCAAATTGTATCCTTCAAAAATGTTGTGAGATGCAGGAATAAGAAACTAGGAGAAGGGACACAATTGTTTTCAACAGGTTCCTCATCAATAGTTCTACACCAATATATGTTTTTCGCATCAAAATTATATCAGTCTTGTGATGATATTAGTCTTTACTAAGACATAGGACTAGTGGAAATCAAGACGGTTAGACAAAAGAAATAAAAATTTTGAAGTATAAGAGAGGTTAAAATGATTGCGGAATTCAGGATAAGTTGATTTGTAGAGGTTAGCAACAAGTGATTACACAATCAATGATTTGTAAAATACTGGAGACCAAGAAGAACCGATAAATGTACCACGTAAGAATACCCAAAAGACAAATAGGTTAACTGAATTAGCTATAATAACAATCATAATAAAATAACGGTGTTAAGTGATATTTACAAAGATGGGATAAGACTTTATACATACTATACAGACGGCTATGTCAAAGAAAGGGGTTACACGAATTTCTATTTAATGCACAGATTGGGCTTGTTCAGATGAAATGCTACAGCTGTATGTGGAAGCTCAACTCATACAGAATGCAAAACCTTATACTTTCAATAGCCTCCTCGACGTTTCACTGAGAAAATAGAAGACGGATCCGTTGAAACAACAATATTTGAGAAACTGAATGTAAACATTTGCTTAGCCTCGTAGTAACAAAACATAACGACAATGATGATGAGACGCATGGCTTTAGGCTAACCTTAGTCTGCCCTGAACAGTGTACAGAGAGAAATTTCCATGATAACCGGAGAAGTTTATAGAAGCCAACGTAGTCACAGTTATAAATAGCCAATAGTGCAGAAGAAGTCATTATTTTTTAGTCTGTATTTCAAGGGAGATATCAAAGTGATAAAGACGACCTTCTGTCTTGGAGATCTGTTCTTTTTCCTTAATAGCCATTCAGTGTCCATTCTGAAACTGAAAACAGTTCTACCGAATATCATCTTCTAACCACATACTTACCCTTTTAACAGTTCCTGTGGTTCAAGTCATATAGAGCGTACTGCTAGGCAGGTGAGTCTACAAATTTCAGAACATTTAAGGGCCTTGTTCGGAAAGGATGGAACGAAATGTATAAGAGGCTCAATGAAATGATGAAATTAATGCTAATATAGTAGTCCTTAAGGTTATATATATCACCTTCTAATGTCATTATCATTCACAGTTGTCCTACATGTTCCCAAATATGAAAAACATCTCTGATATTGCTGAAAGACTGTTGAAATGCCTTTGGAATAGATACCACCTTCAAAGCAACAAGATCACTTCAACCTATATTATGTCAGCCAAAAGACAAGGCAGTAAAAGAAGACAAAATCAACGTTATCTAGAGGATGCCAGCTTCATCATATCAATACATGCTGACTAGTAAGAACACCAATTCGACTTCTGTTATAACTGTAGCGGAATTAAATGAGGACGTTGTCGCCTTGTTCTGTCTGCGCCTGACTAATATGCCTATCTGCTACTGATACCTTCCGATTCAGCAAACCACGCAAATATCAAAAGACAAAGTCTGGTCTGTGACTGTATATTGTAGTACAACAACTACGACAAACTACGACTACGACAAATAAACTTATTTGGGAAATGGTATTTATACATTTTTACAACCAATACAGACAGCTAACAGTATTTGAAATAATTGGTCATAATAGTCAATAACAAAATGCGTGGGAAATGATGATATACCACTTATGCGAGATTAACAGTCGTTAAGATAACTGAACAATAACAAAGTGTGTGGAATCCTATCAACTTCATACTTTAGATACAGAGTAAGGACCATTGTCAAACTAACTTAACCAGTTTTCAGGTTAGTGAAATTTAGTATTTCAATTGCTCATTGAGACAATTTAAGTTTCACAAGTCTCACTTTCATGTTACTTTCAACTACATGTACGTGCTAAAACAGAGAAATTTGATTTGTGACCGTATTTCGAGACATATTTCAAGGAATTTGCGACTGAATAGCACAAAAATCCTCACTAGTGGAATCAATCATTACTCACTCGTTTTAAGGGAACAAATGCTTTCAACAGTGCCCCTGATAGGTACCTTGTCAATACGGGTGATGAGATCGACACCATGAAGTCCTTTCAAATTATCAGTAGACAATATCATTCAGTTCTCCTCAATTCCGCTGAAGCAACTGCTATCAAACCGTTGAAACCTGATTTGAAAGTCTAGAAACAAACAATTATCAACCCTACCTTGCCCGGTAACTAAATGTCTTTATAGTCTCGCCTTCGATTTCTTCCTTCTTCGTAATAATGTAATATTGCATGTTTTGAGTCTCTATGCTTTGAATTGAATTCACCATGTATTTTTACTCATTTTTATTAGTTACTCATCATCTTATCCACTTCTGGCCTTTATTACACAACTTCTTCCCTATTGTTTCCAGGCGTTTATTCATTTTGTTTGAAATTTGACCTCTTGTGTATAAGTTACGTAAGTGTAATCTCTGTTCACTGTTAACTGACATCATGTGACACATGTGAGCTGCATGCAGCTGATGAAAGCCCACATAATAAACGATTGTACCGGCTTCTGTTCTTCACAAGCCATTATTTTTGCTATATTTAATTGTATCAGAAACATCCTTCTACTGACTAATTCTTGTGTAGAATGAAGTCTTTGAAAAAAACTAGCTTCTTCAAACTTGTGGTCAGTATGGCTGAAATCTCAAGAAATTTTCAAGAATATCCTTGAAGAAATGAAAATAATATCGTATAGAGGGATTTCAGAGGCAATTTCTTCTTCTAGAATCCGTTTTTCAGTAGCATTTCAGCAGTACTAAGAAGATATACAAACATTAACTCTGAGAAATTTGAAATACATATGGTTTAACTAAGTCTAGTCTGTTGGGGTTCGACTCCCGT